AGTCAAGCCTTCAAGTTTAGGTCTGCTTCTTTTTGTCAACTTTGTGTATCTTTGTGGTTTACTTGTTGGGCATGAAAAGCTGTTTGGTTAAGGCTCAATTCAGGTGAGGGTCAGATGTTCTCAGGCTTTCTCCGAAGGTCTGGATCCCTCCAGGAAAGATTTTGGCCTTAGGAATTTGGGGGTTAGACTTGCCTGGGACCCGGGCCTAGGAAAGATGCTGGTGTAGGGCAGCTGGTGGCCGTTTCACCCAGAGATGCAAAGGAAGAGGGGGGTGTGAAGAGGTCCCAAGGGCCCCTGGGGACTGCACTGAGGAGCTGGGTTGGTCTGGATACAAAGGACCAGGAAAAGCAAAGGTCATCTCTGGTGTCCAGGAAAGTGGGTGGCGGGTTGTGCAGGCCCAGGGAAGTAGAGGGAGGTGAGGGCAGGGCCAGGCCCAGGGTGCTCCTGGGGACCTGAGAAGGAACTGGGTTGGTCTGGATGCAAAGGATCAGGAAGCAGTGATGGTTCTCCGGGTGCCTGGGCCGCGAAGACAATGAATGGGACAGGACCCAGGCTAGGAGGAGAAACCGGTAGAGGAGATGGGAGGGTGAAGGAGGCTTGGGGAGTAAAGGCGTGGAGGGCACAACCGACCTACCCCAGAGAGAGAGGCCTGTGGGTTGGAGAGAGGCCTGAGGGTTGTGCAGGCCCAGTGAAGCAGAGGGAGGTGAGGGTGGGGCCAGGCCCAGAGTGCTCCTGGGGACCCACGAAGGAAGTGAGTTGCTCTGGATGCACAGGATCAGGAAGCCGTGGTGGTTCCCCAGGTGTCTGGGGACCAAGACAAGGAATGGGACAGGACCCAGGGTAGGAGGATAGACCGATGGGGGAGATGGGAGGGTGAATGAGGCTGTGGGAGTCAAGGAGTGGAGGGAGCCATCGACTTACCCTGGAGAGAGAGGCCTGTGGGTCATGCAGGTCCAGGGAAGCAGAGGGTGCTCCTGGGGACCCGAGAAGGAACTGAGTTCCTCTGGGTGCAAAGGATCAGGAAGCAGTGGTTGGTTTTAAGTTTTATACAGAAGGGATGAAGAATGTATATTAAGAGCTTTTTGAGCTCACAATTCAAGGTAAGAAAGTAAGTTCTTATTTCCTCAGTTCCTTGCTGACATGCGGTCTACTTGGGTGACCTTTCAGAACGCAGTCACCCCATCCACTCCCAGGCCAGGCTATAGCATATGTGCCCAGTGCCCATCGAAGCCTACTCCAGTTTCTTCCATGGTAATCCAAGCCAGTAACCCTCCCGCCCTCCCTCCCTCCCTCCCTCCCTTCCTTCTTTCCTGTCTTTATCAGACAAGGTTATTTTTATTTTATGTGTATGAGTGTATTGCCTGCATGTATGTGAGTGCACCCGTGTCATGCAATGCTGCGGAAGTCAGAGGAGGGCTTCAGAATCCCCCCCCCTTTTTTGGCCTCCCCTCTGCCCAGAACCTTTTATTTCATGTGAAACATAGCTACTACATTTATCTTTTATTTCATTGGAAAAAAATCTATACAAAGAACCAAAGTCTGGTTCCCATGAAGAAAACATTTACCACAGCTTAAGTAAAAGTTGAGGGAGGAGTGCACGGAGGTATTAGCTCTGTGGCTATCTTGCCTGACTCTGTGACCCTGTGGGATTGGAATCACAGGAATCCAAGAGAACCTTACTTGGCCCTCTAACATGGCTTGAGAGCAACTATAATATGTGCTTTCTAGCCCACAGACTGCTGAAATCCTGAGCACTGCATGGCAGTCATTACAGTTTGAATAAACAGAGTGCACAAGGTCTCGATTTAAGTGTTTTCAGCTAGTTACAGGCAGTAACAGTTCAGTCAGGAAGGAAAATATATAATTTATCAAAAAATAGTTCTAATATATAGAAAAACATCTCCTCCTTCAGGGAGGAGACCTGCTCCTTATTTACATTCACAAAGCCGTTGAGGAAGGCTAGCACTGACCCCGAAGCAGTGAGGCAGGGCCTCCTCCATGGGGCATGCCAGTTGCCTACTACATAAGCAAACAGAAAACAGAAGGGCATTTGCTCAGTTCTTAGAGAACAGAGGAGAATCACTGGAGGCAAAAGAAATGACTTGATCTTGAGGTTAATTCCAACCTTTCTCCAAGCTCAATCTTACCAGCAATCTCAAGGTAGTTGTTGGGATGCTCCCCAACCTGGATGTCCAGGTGTACACGCAGTTTGCCTCCAGCGAAGAGCACCGTCTTAGAGGAATTGGGGTGCAGGCAGATCTGATGGTCACCCAGTGTGTGGGAGGTGAACATGAAGCACCCCTTGGAATCGTATTGCTGGGAAAGCGCCACCTTGCCCTCCAGTCCTTCACCTCCACATGTGTGCCCGGGCCGGGGGTGGAAGGCAGGAAGGCCTCCTCCTGCTTGTCCCACATCTGGGCTTGATAGTTGCCAATGACCATGGTCTTGCTGGGGATTTCCTTGATGAAACAACACTTCTCCATGGATGTGAAAGTAGAGTTCACAGGTCCCCGCACGGCACAGGGCGAGCACCAGGACAAGTCACACCATCACCGCGCCATGAGGCCCAGACATCCGCCATCACGCTTCACCCTTTGCCTGTGTTTTCTAATAAACATCAAAAGATAAAATAATCCACCCAGGCGTGGTGGTGCATACCTTTAATCTCAGCAGAGGCAAATGGATCTCTGTGAAAGTGAGGCCAGCCTGGTCTCTGTAGCAAGTTGTAGGTCAGCTGGGGCTACAGGGAGACCCTGTCTCAAAAAGACACAGACACAGACACACAGACACACACACACACACACAAAAGAATCCAATTTTATAGAAACTGTTTCAGAATACAGTGGAAGCAGCTCCAATGTCTAAGGGAGTCCTAAAACCCAACAGTACAAGATAGGGAAATTACAGAGCAGTAGATGAATGTAGTTGAAAAATCCTAACAAAATATCTGCAAGCTTGAGTTCATTAACATTGGAAAACAGAAGACATCCTGACTCAGTGAGCTTTTCATAGTAATACAAAGAAAGATTAATGTTGGAATTCCACCAATGTTACTTACTATAATCCTATACTAAGGGAGACAGTCATAGGATAGAGGTAGAATATTTGGTAATATTAATTATTCATTAATTATTTAAAGAAACCCCTGAAATGGTTGTAATAAGAGAGAATTTTCTCAAACTTATGAGTATCTATAAAGATCTAATCATTGTATTTGTTAGTAAACAGAATTGTTTTCTACATGCATAAAACAGATGTCAGTCAGTCTCAATGAGGAAAACTGAAGTTTTTCTCTTGGAGACCAGACATGAAAGAGGGACTACTGTCATTAGGCCCTTCACGCCTCCTCAGTGGCTTCTCAATGTGGCTGGTGGTGCAGCTCCACAAAGTAGGATTGTCACCAGGTGGTTGGACAGGTACCATGGTCACTGGCTTGCAGCTGGAGCGGGGCAGAAGCGTCCAGTTTGGGTTGTTACTCACTCCATGGTGGCTGGCTTAAAGCCTGGGAGCAGAGCTCCGTGCCCTCTAAATTAGGCTAGGACCAGGTGTGTTGGTCCTTTATGCTATTCAGAGTCCCCATTCAGTGCAAGTTTAGGAGTAGTCAAGGAGACACAGCCTCTAGTGAGGAATGCCATTTGTGAGCAAGTGAGAAGGGGTTGGTGCAAGTTGTTTCTGAAGAGCATGTACCATAGCTACTATCAGATGGGCAAACATGTAGCGGGAACATGTAGCAGGTGCTGGCATCAGATATGGCAAAAGCTGTGGAATGACTCGCATTTTTACAAGCTGCTTGTGGTCATGCAAATTAATATAACTGCTCTGGAAAACATTTTGGTCTTACCTACTAAAATTAGATTAAGATGTACATGCTATCAGGTTCAGCAGTTTAACTCCTCGATAGATATTCAAGAAAATGATTGTGGGGCTGGAGAGATGGCTCAGTGGTTAAGAGCACTGGCTGCTCTTGCAGAGGACCAGAGTTTGATTCCTAGCACCTACATGGCAGCTAACAACTATCATCAGTTCCAGGGGATCTGATGCCCTCTTCTGACCTCTGTGGGTGTTGCACAACATGGATGCACCTACATCATGCAGGCACTACACTCATACACATAAAATAAAAATTAAAAAAGAAAATGATTGTTATATATGTACTACACACACACACACACACACACACACATATATTTCTTTTCAGAGTAGCACTGTTGTAATAGAAAGCCTGGGAAAAAAATCATCAAATAGCAGAGTAGATAAATAAGTTGTGTTGAACTTTTACAATGGACTACTTTACTTCAATAAAAATGAATAAATTCTGCATATGTGGATTTATATGGCCATAATTTAATCTCTAGGTCATAAATGCTTAAAGCATATACAACACAAAGTTTAAAAATATGTGCAAGCAGATAATATATTACTTATGAATGCATTAATATATAATAAAACTAAAAACCATCCCAAATTTTAGTGTGGTAGTTATTTCCAAAGAAGGTTAGAGGGAGAGAGAGAAAGCATGGGACATGAGTAATTCTAATCTTTATTATTTTTACTTTTGATGAATTGAATGATGACTGTTTCTTATAGCTCATGTGTATTTTGTGTTCTTTTGTCTATTTAATATAAACAAGAATAAGAGCCTTGATACCTTAAAAATTTTTTTTTTGAAGATTGGCTTTAAATGATTCCCTTAAATTATTGTCTCCACTCGAGAATTGCATCTTGGGTTAATTAGCTGTGCTTCCTCCCTGATGGTCTGTCTGTATTGTGACAGTAGACTTTGGAGTTTCATAGAGAAGTAGGTTTCAGGACTCTCAAGCAGTGTGAAATGAGGGCTTCAGTGGGGTGGAAGGCGTCTGCAGACTTGACTGTCTAGTAGGCGGCTTGTCCTGTTGGGTTAATAATCACTTGCTATTGAAAATTGAGAAAAATCAGTAGTTGTCAAGTATAAAGAATCGGAACAGTATTTTCTCATTTCTTACAGTTTTATTGTTTTACAGATTGATCAACTGAAACAGGAACTTTCAAAGAAGGAATCAGAACTTCTTGCCTTACAAACAAAGCTTGAAACCCTTAGCAATCAAAATTCAGACTGCAAGCAACACATTGAAGTGCTTAAGGAGTCACTTACCGCCAAGGAGCAGAGAGCTGCCATCCTGCAGACAGAGGTAAGGTGCTGGCTGGGAGTATGGACACCAGGGACACCGAATGACAGAAAATGTCCTTCCTGAGCGGCCATTTTTAGAAGACCCCTCCTTGGAACTCTTGGGTTCGCATGTGTTTTTGAATTCATAGATTTTTAGATTTTGCAAAGGTGAGGCCTGTTGCACACATCATAGTTCTGTGACTCTCCCGGTGCAGCAACATTTCTGAGCAAACACAGAACTCTATGCAGGGTAAGCAAAGACTATATTGGTTGCTCCTGTTGATTTTTGTCGTGTTGTACATCCAAGGGGTTTGTTTCATACTTAGAATTCTTTTTGACTTTTCAGACAGAGACTTTTAGATTTGTGAATTATAAGTAATAGATCTGGAGCGATTACATTTAATACAAAAATCACAAAATGATTAGCATAGGCAGTACCTTAGTTTGCATGATCTGTGCCCGTGTGTGGTTCCATGGGTTTCTTACTAAGGGATATCTTCAACTTTCAATGAAGAAATTAGCATTCTGTGCTTCTTTATTTTTCTTTATTTTTGCGACAGGGTCTTCCTATAGCTCCAGCTAGCCCAGAACCCACTATATAGACCAGGCTGCGCTTGATTTCACAGTGCCTGCCTCTGCATCCAGAGTGCTAGAATTAAAGCTGTGTGCCACCATGCCTGGTCTTTATGTGCTTCTTAAAGGAATGTTGATTTGTTGTTTCTGGTTCATAGTTAGAAGAAAAAAAAATACATGTTATTATCCCATTCTCCTGCTTCTCCCAATGGAATATTAGTTTTTGTCTTCTAAGAAATATAAAACACACCCTCGTTGCTGTGTAAAAAAAAAAAAAATCAAAAGCAATGGGCAGTAGAGTACAGGGGTGGGAGCCAGACTGCTCTGTGTGATGAGACAGTGCTGTATGTGGGTTGCTTTGGGAGAAGGCAGCCTAATTGGCATGTGTGGTCTCTTGGGCTCTTTGGGTCATGTCTTTGTATGTATAGACTTGAAGGTTTAAAAGGAGGTATAGATTTACCTTAGGAGTTTGTGGGGCTGTTGGGTAAGTCTGTGTCCTCAGTCAAGTTTAGGACACTGTCCAGGGAAGAAAGGAAACAGCTTCCCTACTGGATGGGTGCAGGCCCTGACTCAGTCCCTGTGCATACTTGTTCATTGATTACAAGGTGACTACTGTATTGCTGCAGATGAACAGTCAAACGTCACACGGCCTCAGTGATGTAGCCATTTCATACTTATGAAATATGATTTTCAGTTGTGTGTAGTATCCCTATGAATGTGGAGGCATGGACATTTTCTTTCTCTTTTTAAATTTTTTTGTTTGTTTTTTAAGACAGGGTCTCCCTGTAGCACAAGTTGGCCTGGAACTCACTATGTAGACCAGGCCTGTCTCGATCTCAAAGAGATCTACCTGCCTCTGCCTCCTGAGTGCTGGGTTAAAAGCATGTGCCACCACATCCAACAATAGTTTCATTCTTAAGGTATGAATTTGTGTCCTAAACTGGAAGGTGACTTACATCTCATTTGAGGAACAGCAGTGCAGATTGTCTAGAACTGTGCTGTTGAATACTGAGCTATTAGCCACACGTGGCTATTTCAGTGTCGTTTAGTGAAATTTAAAATGCAGTTCTTTGATCACAATGGCTAATGCTTTACACATCTAATGGTATCATGTGGCTAATGCCTGTCGTATTGGGGACATTTCTGCCACCTAGCAGTTGTCTAGAATGGGGATTGGCCTGCAAACCAAATCTGGTCCTCCACTTGTTTTTGTAAATAAAGTGTTGTGAGAACCTACCACATCCATTCATCTGTGTGTCTGCTTTCTTATAAAATAGCAGGGCTGTGCAGTTGTAGTAGAGCCTGTGCGGTCCACAAAGCTGAACGTATTTACTGTCTGGCCTTTCATGGGAATACTGCTGCCCCGTGACAGTATGATTTTGTGAAGCAGATTGTGTGGGCATTGGAGTGCCCAGCTAGGACTCCTCCTCAATTCCTCCTCCTGAACAGGACCAGGTAGTTTGCTGACTCCTGCCCAGGATCAGTGCAGTTGCTGTACACAGCACCTGGTTATATCCATATTTTGTCTTAAAGCTAGTATAATTATGCTGCTGTGGGTTGGGTGGGAGGACATAGGACAAGGCAGTCTGCTTGCCCCAGCAGGCACCCAGGTTTCCTGACGGTTCCTCTCCAGAAGGCAAGAGTAAGAAAAGCCAGCACAGAAAGGCCTCTCCTGTCACTGCCTACAGCAGTCTGCCTACCTGGTCTTCTCTTTTACTCCTCTCAAATTAATACAGTTCAAATTAGACCCATGCATATTTCATGACAAAGACAGTGGTGACATGTGGATAGCTTCTGTCCCATGTTCGATAATTAAATGACCCAGTGGAGAGAAGGTGCTTTGAAGTAGAAAGAGTTACTCTCCCCGCATGGAGAAGTGATGGTATTTCTAAGGCTCTGCTTTGAAGTGGAGAGTGCGAGATGAATGATTTTATCAGCTTGAAACCTCCAAGGAATTTTCTTTTGCCTTTTTTCTTCTGTTAGGATCTGTTTCTTCATGTGTAGAAACAGAAGAGTGAGTTACCTAATGATGTCCTTCTCTTAAAGAAAGCAATTTAGGTCGAAATTAGCTCTAATTGTTGGATCATAGGCAAAGGAATTCTGGCAGCCAGCGTGGTGGAATGCGTTAGGGTGTTACAGCTGCTTTTGGAGTAGCAGAGGGAAGTGAAACTCTCCTTGCCCAGTGTGTGCGCGCTTGGTGAGGGTAGTTGGTGGGTGAGATATGCTCTGTTTCATTGTGTCCCACACTGAAAGATGTGCATTTAGATGGATGTGAGGACCATCCTTGGAGCAGATGACACATTACAGTTTCTTGCTATTCTGTTCCTGACTCATTCTTAAAAGCTCTTGCCAGAACTCACAAGAGGGCATTTTCTAGAATGGGAAGGGTCTTGCTGGTTTCCCTGGAACACCTGTGCTGGCAACTGGCTTTAGCCCCTTTTCTGGAATACAGTATAAATGGTAGCTGTTATTGATTACTTTTCTAGAACACAATGTAAATGACAGCTGAACGCAGAACAGTTCTCTTTAAGGAAGGTTCTGCTCCTAGGAAGTTTGTGTTTGGGAGGTGGTGGAATGAAGGGCGGGGTGAGGGGTTGGAGGCAAGTTGTCTGGGTTTGTGGCTATGTGGCTTGGCTCTTTAGTTGGGTTGTTTTAGCTTGTACAAATGCCCAGACGTTTTTTGACATGTGTGCAATAAATCAATGGAATAATAATTACATACACAGAGAGATATACCACATAGCTCTTAACATAACATTTTACCTTCTAAAATAGCTTCAAAGGACCCCACAGGCAAGTTTCTTACTTCCCTTGATGTTTCCAACTTAGCCCATTCAGAAACGGCATGGGTTCCTCAGCAGCAGGCAGAATAACAGTGATTTGGCTTTCTTTCTTGCTTGCTTTTTCTTGATTTTAGTGAGGAATTACCAACACATCCAGAGACTAGGAAGGATAAAGGCCTAACATTTCTTTCAAAATTGGAAGTAAAATGTCAAAAAACCCCAACAACGCAAAAGTGGAAGGTATGTGGACGTGCCTTAGTCTCCCCGTTTAACAATTTAAGGTGTGGACAAGACCTGAGCTTTTGTGAGCATCTTGAGTGCCAGTCTATAAAATGGCCAGTCTGGTATATCTGTGTTGGGAAAAGTGCTCTGGGAGTACATCATACACAAATACGGAACGGTCTAAATACAAAGTGCAAAAAACAGTGTCTTGCATGTAGTAAAATATTCTAACTACAAACTGCATTTCCTATGTTGGTGCTTTTGTCGGTATTATTATTGCTGTTGGTTATTGGAAAGCTTTGACACGTTGAATATAAATACTTCTTATCCTATTTTAGCTTTGTGAGTCTCTTTTTGAAACTTTTAATGTGTGTGTTTAGACCCCAGACTTTCATAGTTCAATCGAGTCATCTTTTTTGTCTTAAATTGATGCAGAGAAATAAAGGTGGTATTAAAGTGATCTTCTCTAGCCCAAATTAAGATTTTTTTTTTTGAGTCACAGCCCAGCTCCCTCCCCAAGATGTTGGTTGTTAAATCATGAATGTTTTTTTTTCTTTTCTCCCCCCTTTCCCTCCCTCCCCTTCCCTCCTCCCTCCTCCCTCCTCCCTCCTCTCTCCTCTCCCCCTTCCCATTTTCCTCCACCCAGCATGTTTACCAAACTGATAGTCATAACAATTCTTATGTATACTTTCTGGAAGATGTGTTATATGATACTGCTATGCAGTGCTCAGTTTTTACTAGCTTATGTTCTAGACAGGTCAGGGAAGTGTTCTAGACAGGTCAGGAAGTACTTGTTACTTATCAGGAATGTAGGGATTTCCTGCTCCTACAGGCAAAGGGCAGTTATACAGGCTAGGGTAGTTCAGCCCCATAGCAGTGGTGCATAGCTTTGCTTTTTAAAATGCAACTGACACAGATGAGAACCTCCTTTTTCCAGAAAATATCCCCATGGCCCATCACATTCATATTCACAGGCAGGAATGTGTATAATCTCAGGTGGCCAACAGATGCCCCAAGGTACTTCTAAGAACTTCACATTCATGATCTGTGCTCTGTGGACTTCATGTATTGTACCACGTATGGTTCCTACCCCCATCAGGCACAGGGCTACATCATAGAGAACTGGTTTACAGTGCCATCAGTCCCCAGCAGTTTTGTTATTGGTTTCTAGCAACTGCGTATTGACTCTTAACTGGACTTTTGTTGAAGAGCAGGAAGCAAAAGGAGAGAAGACAAACAAATAGCTCCTTTGGAGTCTAGAGTTTGCAAACTGTTCAAGATCTCTGTTTATGTCTCCTGAAACTACAAGCTAATACTATCAAGATGATTGCTCTGAAAAACCTGATCCTCATTGAGGCTACCCTTAAGGCATTTGATTCTTGTGCTTGAGAAAGGACATTGTTCATATGGAGGTGCAAAGGCTCCCGGCCTCAGTATTTCAGGA